GCAATCATAGTCAGCGACAACAAGGCCCACTGTGTGCATGCAGTGACACCCCAGGGTGACGTCATGTTCCAATACGCAGTTCCAGGTCAGAGTGGAAGTGGAGACGGACATCTGAGTAAGCCAGATGGAGTGTGCGTAGATAAGTTTGGACACATATTCATAGCCGACTACGGTAATCACAGGGTGGTTGTCCTTGGATCAGACGGAAGGTTTCTACGTAACATTTTGACAAAGAGTGAAGACATTCAATATCCTTTGTCAGTTGATATCAACATTAACGGGGATCTTGTTCTTGGGACTTACCAATGTGAAGTATCCACGTATAAGTATATAGATTGAAGATGACAGACTTAAACGATTTTAGACTGTGATGACGTTTGAATTAAATTTTTATCACTGAGAAAAGTTCAATTGGTAAACCATAAAGTTACCGTAGAACAACCTGTAGCCGGTTGAAACTGAAAGTGTGCGGAAGATCTAAATGGAGCTTGTTGATTGTACATGCCAAGGTTAAGCTGTATATCTGTTAGCAATGCCTTATACAATTTGACACTTTGATGATGTTTGAATTGTGATATTAATCATATAGGAAAATATAATGAACACGCTACAATTCTGATTATGGTAATTGTCTTTATTATTAATATTATTTGGCTAAGAACTGAGTTTCGGCTAAACAAAAACGCTCTCGAGCCACAACAAATTTTGATTCCAGAAGTCTACACCACTTCAAGGTCGACAGTATTAAAAAGAAAATGCACATTTTTAGGGGACTACGAAATATAGAGCTCAGTGAGAGGAAATACGTGCAGGAACCCCGCTTTCTCTCACTGAGCTCTGTTCCTCCTAGTCCCCTCAGGAATGTACTCTCAGTCCTATCAGGAAAAAAGAGGGAGGATTCGTGAGAGGGACGGATACGAGCTAGGACATTGTGGTTGACAGCAAAAGCGTAGACGTGATTTCTGAAAAAAAAAATACTTTGAAAATAAAATCGCCGTCGAGTAGCATTATGTCCTTTGGACTCGATTCGAGCCTATACTACTGTAACTTGGTGCCTAATAACAGAGTAACCTACTGACCCTTATTAATTGAAGTTAAATTGTTGGATTAGTTACAACATGGCACCTAGCTATATTATGTATCAATCATTTTTGTGATTTTGTATTATTAAGTGGCATAGACAAAGTACAAAAGCAACGCTTATGACTGACGTGATTTACAGCACTCCCTCTCCATTAAAGGTCACAAAGATCAGCAGAATTAATTGGCTTTTGTATATTTATATCACTTTATTTGTTAATGACAAAATGTTTTCTCGAGAAGGTTTCCTTGGCGATAGCGAGAAAATAAACAAAAATTCTAACTTACCTGTTAATTCACCACCGTATCATTTACCTTTTGACAAAAACATATAGAAACAGAGATACAAATCTCACGTACATTTTAACTTTATCGGAGGTTCATTTTATATTATTAATGCAATCTACACCGAGCAAAGGACAATTACGTTTGGACGCTTAAAACGTTTTTATTTATCTTATAAACTGCGACAGAACTGTGTTTAGGGTCAGGGAATTATCCTCCAGGTGTGTCATTGTAAATCTTTAGGGAAGTGTGCATCCTTGAGCTGGTAAAACTGAAATCTAGAACCTAGGGTAGCATCCTTGAGCTCAGTGCTATATCATTGTCGGTATCATTGTCCATGTCCCAAATCGACCCACCTTTAGTCTATATGCCATCATGTCCAAAATTGACGAAGTTTATACGTTTTGTTTTGATCAGTAGCAGATTCGGTATGACATTGGCTCCAATGTATACCATGTCATGTCCTGCACCGTTTACAGATATATTCTCCAGGAGCCTGTTCTCAGTTTTCAGAACTGATTTGTTTTTTTCTTGTAATTTCTATCCAGACAACAGCAGCATTAATACCGTGGCTTTCCGTTGACGTTACCAGCTCTATCCAGACAACAGCAGCATTAATACCGTGGCTTTCCGTTGACGTTACCAGCTCTATCCAGAAAACAGCAGCATGAACAACGTGGNTTCATAGATAAGAAAAGTAGCACAATATCGGCAGAAGTTGAGGCAGTCACCTCCACGCAGGTGAAGACTTTAGAAGCAGAAGAGGACAAGCAAGAAATGAACAAGATTTCCATTCAGAGTATTCGTGATTTCGCTCAGCAGCTCACAGACACCGGTTCTGACATCGAGGTCATGACCCACTCTAAAAAACTTCTAACTAGAATACAGGAGTTAGAGACAGTAGAACCAGTCTTTGATACCATGATCACCGATATAACATTTACACCAGGGCAAACAGCAATGGACGTTGTGCTACAGTTTCCTAAAATCCCAGAACCACGGCCGCTGTCCGTCAAAACGGGGTCCATTACGGCCAAAACATACCGCGGTCCCTTGGATGCACATTTTGGAAGTTTGAAACAAGAGAGAACATACTATCCCGAGCTGATGAAATTTCAGAAAGTTGCATGGCCTCATGTGCCAGAGCGGTATGTTTGTTTTAATGTTAAGGGTTTGTTGTTGGATATCCAGTGCACAGATGGCGGTTGTCTTTTAGTTTTACACAGTGACCTAACCGGGTGCACAACAGTGTCAGTATTCTCCAGCACAGGTCAATGTAATCGTGAGATCAGTATAGTGGGAGGGGTGAGGTGTATCACTACAGTCAGTAACGATAGATCCGTGGTCACATGCCATGATAAATGCTGTAGACTGTATTCAACTTCAGGTCAGTTTATCCAGTGTTTTGGTCAGGGTGATATGTCTGACCCCTGTGGTGTCACTGTGGACCGTACAGAGGGTAATGTGTACGTGTGTGATAGTGGTGCACAGTGCATCTTTGTATACGACATAAAATCATTTCATTTGGTTAACAAAACTCCTGTCCCAATGTGTAGTAAAGGCACACTGCGCTGTGCATACCACCACGGCATCAATACAATCATAGTCAGCGACTACAGTGCCCACTGTGTGTATGCAGTGACACCCCAGGGTGACGTCATGTTCTAATACGGAACACGAGGTCAGAGTGGAAGTGAAGACGGACAACTGAGTAATCCACGAGGAGTGTGCGTAGATAAGTTTGGACATATATTCATAGCTGACAGTGGTTATCACAGGGTGGTTGTCATTGGTTTAGACGGAAGATTTCTACATAACATTTTGACAAAGAGTGACAACATAAGACTCCCTGCGTCAGTTGATGTCAACAGTAACGGGGAGTTTGTTGTTGGAACTTTGGGAGGTTTAATATCGACGTATAAGTATATTGACTAAAAATCATATATGGTTTGACACTATCAAGATGTTTGAATTGTAATTAATATCACCGAGGAAAATGTAACGGACGTGCCTTATTATGTTTGTTGTGTAGAGATATTGAAATTGTACCAAAGTAAAAAAATATGAAGACGTATGATATAATCAGTTTTATCACTTAAATTAAGCACCTATGTTCTTTGCATACTAACATGTATTTTTTTATTAGCAGATACTTCTTTCATGAATAGAATTTAGCTGTTTACCCTGGACTTAATTTTGGCGTAATATGAATGTAGTTCATCTCCTTAAATTTATTATTTTATTTTATGTTAAAGGTAGGTGTTTATGGAATGTATAAAAAGTGATAAAGATGTGATTTTGCTGGTTGCAATGAACAACTTCATGTTTTAAAACTAAAATTAAGTGACTCCTAATGATGTTAACTGCTTTGTTTTTATTATTTTATTTTTATTTATTTATTTATGTAATTAATTATTTATTTATCTATTTATTTATTGGTTTTGCACTGAGGTTCAGTTTTGCAACATGTAGATAAGCGCGGTTGGGAGCAGAACATCTTTTTTCAGTAGTCTTTGCAGATTTAATATTGAATGTGGAGTCGCTCCGGGCATTATTAAACAAATAATGCACAGTTTTTAGCGGACTACGAAGAATATAGTGCCCAGTGGGGAGGAATTAGCAGATCCCCATACCCCCGCGCTTCGTGGACTGTGCTCTAATATTTCAATATGTACAGGACTACCAG